TCAAAAGATAATGAAGAAGTTTCAAAACTTCTAGAAATTATACACCAATGAATGAAAGACTTCAAAACTAGCACCAAAGGTCAAGGGGTAGTATTTGTCAAAATCTACTCTACAACACCAGAATGGGAGAAATCTCAATATTTCCCCAGTCATCATATAGTTCAAATTGGAATCTAGTCTAAGAAAATCAAGGTAGAAGCAAATGAAGATCAAATTTTTCAAGATTTTGAAGAGTCTCTTTGTGGGATCAAGTTCATCCAAGAGAGACGAGCTCTATGATTTAAGGTTTTACTCCAAACCTTTGACAAAATGATAGAGATGAGGAAGACATGGACATATGGCTTCTCTAAAGAAATCTCGGTAGTATCCACTGGTGCAAGACTAATGATAAGCATCAGCCTGTTCAAAATAAAGCAAAAAAGAAAGGAAATATTTGAAAATTTGGTCCCAGCTAGTAAAGTAATCCATAATAGACTACACAAGCTGTTAAAGCATGACAATCATTGTGGTTTCTGCTACAAAAAAGAATCTGAAAAAGGAAAAGCTGAAGAGGATCTCATCATCCTCTGAAGAATCCAATGCAAAAAGACGTAGGCTCCTACGTCACTAAAGAAAAAGAAGAGTGTCTACTAGATTCCATGTAATCTACTTTAGCAAAAGCAAGAAGTAAGTCAGGATCACCAGACAATAATGTAGACTTTAATCGTCATCAATGACGAAAGAAAAGATTTTAAGGAGCGCTATAAAAAGCCTCCTATAAACTGTAACAGGTATCAGGCATTTGAACATCCAAATACCTTACTTGAAAACCTTCTACTATGCATTTGTAAACACCCTTCAAGAGGAAAGAGAACTTTCCCTTTTTTCTCTTAGAAATAAAATCATGTTTTAGAATAATTTTTGTGTTTCTATCCTTCCTTATTTCTATCATAAAATAAAATGAGAAGAATCCTGAAGAAACTAAGGCAACAGTGAAGTCACTTGTCCTGTCTAGATACCCATTTTAACCTGAGTTTGGCATTAAGAGTTGGATGAAGGAAGCATTTGCTTGACTGAAGGCTAGTCCAAAGGATTTTCAGGTAAAATTCTAAGTCATTTATTTTATCATGCGGAAGAAAGGTGGGCATAGAAACAACTTTATTATTCTTTAACATTAGATTATTTTTGAGATAAGAAATGATGGGGAAATAGTACCTAACCTCTTATATTTTGAATAGGAAAATCCATTTTATATTAAACCGTTATAATTTAAGATGCTTGATTTTATTCAAGAAATTATTGTAGATAAGATAGTTTATGAGCAGCAATGCGAATATTATAGAAATAAAATAGTAAAAATTTTAGAAAAAATAAGTAATGTTGAAGATGATTATCATCTATCTAAGAATCTCAAAAAGTTGAAGCAAACAGTTGCAAATTTAAATGAAGATCTAAAAATATTAAAAAAGGCCAAGCAAAGATTATCTATGTTAGCAGTTTAGTAGATCTAATTTCACGCTTATTGAGCTTAACATACTAGATATTCATTAGTCAGTAGTAGTTTGAGTTAAGTTCTGAAAACACATAGAAAAATCTAGTATTAGAGCCAAGAAACAATAATTTTAAGTATAAAAGTTATTTTTGTAGTAAATATAAATTTGAGGACTAAAAGACCAAAACAAATATAGTTAGAGAACTAACTGTTCACTTAAAGAATAGAAAGATTTCTATCAAAGATAATAGACTATACAAAATTGAAATAAATCTGAAAAATAGTAGACAGGATTAGAAGAATCCAAATATAATAAACAAAACTGAAAAAAATATAAAAATTAGTAGATGATTTGTTAAATTAAGTTGTAGATTAAGGTGGAATACGAGCTATGACTAGTTTTTGGTAGATAATAGGGTCAATTGTAGTTAGTTATTTGGTAATGCAAATACTTAAATTTTTTTACTTCAATTTTAAATTAAAAAATTAAAATTAGTGAGTACTAATTTAATTAATCTTTTATTATTATTATTATTATTATTATTATTATTATTTTGGAAAAAACAAGTTTTTCCATTGATTTGTAAAGCATATGTAAACTATACTCCCCAAACATACCCGGGAAAATACCAAAACCCGCAAAATTTTAGATTCAAAAAAGAAAAGTTAAACCCCTATTTTGGTCCCTGAACTATTGTATAGACCCCTCAATTTAGTTCCTGAACTAAAAAAATCCCTAATTTGGTCCTTGAACTATTGTACGGACCCCTGAGTTGGTCCCTAAACTATTGTACGGACCCCCGAATTAGTCCCTAAACTATTATACAGATCCCCAATTTGGTCCCTACTGTTTACCAATTTAGCCTCAACTTGGTCCTTCTGTTAAATAATAGCTCAGGGACCAAATTAGGGCAAAATTGTAAATAGTAAGGACCAAATTGGGCGTCCGTACAATAGTTCAAGGACCAACTTAGGCCAAATTATAAACAGTGTGGACCAAATCGGGGATCTGTATAATAGTTTAGGGACCAAATCAGGGATTTTTTTAGTTTAAGGACCAAATCGGAGGTCCATATAATAGTTCAGGGACCAAAATGGAGATATAACCAAAAAGAAATTATCTAGTTACATAGAAAGATTTCATAGGCATATTTCCTTTGAAAGAAACGTCAATTTTCGTCCTGCCAAACCGTATAGACCGTAGCAACTAAAGCCATCTTCAATTTCCTCCACTGAAGCTGACGGCCTTTGCATGCCCTCCGTATCCAACTCCACTCAGCTGTCCAAGGTTTTGGTACTCTTTGTATATTCAAGAACCCAAGTACCATTCTCCGAACTTCTTTTACAAACTACACTCAAAAAATAAGTGCTTACATGTCTCTTTTGGCTCCAACAAAGAAAACAAATCTTATCTATTCTCGTTATCTTTGGACACAAGTAAAATTTTAGTTTTCAATCTTTCCTGCAAAACTAACCAAGGGATAAAACTATGGCAAGGATATATACTCCTTGCCCAGACGATATTGTGTCATACAACTCTTGGATGCTCCACACACAAAAAATCATAACAATTAAGACAGGAAACACTCCACTACTTGCAGATTTGTAAATTACAAGATCCCTTACCTGAGTCAATCTATGTTGCTTTATTGACTGAACTAATCTCTTATTGGCGGTGCTAAAAGTAGTTAACAAACCTTTATTTAAAATTTTTAAATAAATAGAAAAAAATTTATATTTTTTAGATGAGAGTGCATGTAATAATAATTTTATTAAAAGTATTTTAATAAAGAGTTTTTCTAATATGTACCATAAGAATATATGTTAAAAGTGTAATAAATATATTTTTTAAAAAATTAATTTATGTAAAAAATTATCAAAGTTGACATTTATTTTAATATTATTGAGACAAGAATGAGTTTAATTAATTAATTGATTAATTCAAAGTCAACGCTTATTATTTTTATGTAAATTAATTATAAAAAGAGTACATTAATTACACACTTAACTTGTATATTTATGACATAGGTTAGAAAACCTTTTAATAAATTTATAGAAATAAAAAAAAAAAGATACTTAACTGTTAGTTTCAGTTTAATTAATTTCTCCACTAAAAAATAGTGAATGAAATGTTTAATTTATAATTGTATATTATTATTTTTTCATATTTATGATTAGTTTGTTTTTAAGTCAGTTTTCACACACTTTAGATAATTTTAAGGGCACATCTTTTATGTTATTGTTGTATATTTAAGAAAATTAATTTTTTTGGATACTAACCCTAAAATTTGAATCTTGATCCTAACCTATAAAATAACATTTACTTATAAGTGAATTCAATTCTTAGAGTTATAATTTTATATTATTATTGTTATTATTAAGAGAAAAATGTTTATCTACCAAATCTTCTAAAAAATTAACAAGAAAAACATTCTAAAACAATACCTTTTCAATAATCTCTCATCGAAAAGATTAAAATAATATATTTTTAAAGTAAAAAAGAGATTATTTTGTTTTTCCTTATAATATTTTATTAAAATGACATAATTTTTAGATTTTTTCCTCTTAATTTTTTTTTTAAATTCTACTTAAAGACACTATATCTCTTATAAATATTACTTTTAAAAATATGTTTTTAGGGTGATAGAAAATGTAAAAAGAAAAATTAATAACATTTTACAATTACGCTTATTAGTTATTTAATGTTAAACAACAACTATTAATTATTACATAATTAAATGGTAATCTTAAATTGATATTCATTATTTGTCACATGTTACTACTTTCTGTTATTTGTTAACTTTTAGCTATTATCTATTGCCATTACCCATTATGTGCTGTACATTAGATTTTAACTATTATACCAAATAAGTCCCAAGAATTCTAATTTGTTAACAGCTTGAAGCAAACTACCTTACAGAGATTTTTCATTTTTAGGCCCATTGGGTATAGCAATTTGGAGGTATCAATTAGCGATCTTACTCAATTTGCTAAGAAAAAGTGTTTAGTATATTTACTTATTTTGAAATTACTACAAACTAAGTATTTGGTAAAACATTTTATTGTGTAATTTGGAATTAATGGATAGTGATTAGAGTCCACATTGTTTGTGGATTGAAAAAATTATCTAAGATAGCTTTTTGTATCAAACTGCCAATGGGATTGAAATTTTTTAATTTTTGGCTACAATTTTTCATTAGTACTTATCTAATTAGTTTCAACTTTATTTTTGTCTTTAATAATATTAAATAATTATTATGTTTTTATTTTTATATTAATTTATCATAAAAAATATATTAGTT